GCCTCAAGAAAAAGGGTGGATTGGTGGGGGGACGATCGCTGGTGCGCGCCAGCGCGCTTCAAGAACGGTGGGGTGCCCTCGACCGCGCGTCCAAGTCACTTGGGCGGACGAGCGAGCGGCACATGGCCTGACAAAGAGAAATCGGAGTGCGGTGAGGAATCGAAATCTGACCCCCGGGGAACGTGGGAGACCGAGCAGAAGCAATCTCCTCGAATCGCCGGCGGTCTCTAAACGTGGGTAGGCCTTGCACGCAAAGAACGACCCGACCTACCTCACGAGGTAATGCCTGCTGCCAGCCTCCTCATAATCATGTCTTCGCTTGCCGCGCCAACCGTCGAGCGTGAGAGTGTGCGCCCAACTCACGCCCAACTCGCGCCCACTAATGCCGACTACTCCTCGACTGACGCTGGCACGCTCCGCGAGGACGTGCGGCCAGTCACCTGCTCGACCAAATGCAACACACTATTCATGAAGAAGGAAGGCGCGTGCTCATGCACGCACAGCGTGTGGAAGATCACATTGTGGGCGTTCGGTGCTATCTCTGGCGTCATAGCCCTCAGCGCCCTCCTCAGCGCTGCGAACAGGCTGATGGAAAAAGGAATGTCGGCGTCGACCGAGCTTCAGCCCGCGACGGAGTCGAAGCAGCCCGACGGCACCACCCCCCGCCGTCGCGCCTCCTAGAACCCACGCGTACTGTGTCGTGTCGTCGTGCGCCGTTTGTGCGGTCTTGTACACCAAGTACACAGCCTGTCGTACGGGTGTGGAGGGTGAGTTGAACAAGGGGTTGTGCGCCGGGCCCTCCTGCTCGGCTCCAGCCCCTGTTGATAGGTCCAGGTGATAGTCCTGGATGGGCAATGCATACGCCTCACTGGGCCTTAGATCGCCCGACCGCGTCCCGGTGCTCTGCCGTCGGATTTGTGACTCCGCCGCACCGCGCCGCGGCCGGGGGCCCTCCGGAGGCCGAGGATGGCCGTGACGGACCGGGACGAGCTCTGGGAGGTTCAGTGTCAATGTATATATTGTAGAGACCAACCATGTCCACAATATCTCTCAGTCTAGCTAAGCCTGGGAAGGCGATGCCGGGGCCGTACAGCAGCTTGATGCATGCCACCGAAGCCGGCGGCGCTGTCGAGGTTCGCCGAGCGCGGCGAAATCCGGGGACGCCGTCACCGACGAGCGCGTTGGACTTTTCACTCCGGACAAAGACGGGCACACAGCGGACGGTGCGGGGCGTGTGCCCGTCATAGTGGCGAGGCGCGGGACCGTCTGTGGCGAAGTGGGTCGCGTCCCCGGATTTCGTTCAACCCACCATCCACACCCTTTAATGTTCTTGCCGGC